TAAAAGCAGAGACATTTTAGTGACCCCAACACATATTTGACACACTTTAAGCGTTCCTTTTTTATACAAACCAACTCAAAATTCTAGGATCCTTTATTTTATACTATCTGAATGAAAATTCATCTTATTGGTAATTGTGTTTTTTTTTCATTATTGTTTCGTTGCTGTCTTGTGAACAAATATCTGAAATCTTCGTTTAAACATCAATAATATTAATGGCTATATTTCGGGTAACTCAAACACTCGTTTCTTCGCATAGAAACAACTATACGTTAATCTGAGCTTGGAACGAATACTTTATATCACGGACTATAAATGAAGATAAAAAGATGAAATACTATGCGAAATTGTTTATCCCGCAATACATGAAAATAATTGTTGTATTTCAGTAAATAACACGTGTTCTCAGTTGAGCGTAAACACGTAGTAGTCCATAATCCATTGCTACTCATTTAGTGGATCGGTCAAAAAAACAGGTAAAAACCATTGTGTCATACGTAAATAAACAATTATATTTGCGAGGACAGTATTATATGCTAATTTATGCATATCCATATAAGGTAGTTTTCACGATCTGATAAAACGAGAAAAAGCTGATTAAAAATCCTTAGATTTTTTTCTTCAATTCAGTAATGAAAATAGTTGATATTCGTATTAAACATTTCAAAAATATTTTACTCCTAACAACAACCGTTATAGCCCTATTTCTCGTATCAAACATAAGCTAAAAGAACCCAGTAAGCAATTTGTTTTTGTCCCGGCTGATAAGGCTGACAATAATAGCCTTGTATTGAGGTTCTGCAAAAGAAAAATCACGAATTCACCAACATTCCACCTGACTCAATTTTCAGAAAATAACATCGTTAACAAACATTATCTTTTAACTACCTCCTAAAAAGGAAAACCCAATAACAATAAAGTTCCAATTATGTACTGGCTTCCGAAGCTGCACAAAACACCTTATAAATATAAATATAGATTTGTTTCGTCTTTAAGCTATGATTGTTCAACTAGTAAAATGTTTATTCTACTTACTAGTACACTTGGTGCTGGTTTTAATTTTTTCAAATAAGGCCTACGAAAATAGTGAAGTAAATACTTTTGGAGTGTCAAACATTCGTTGGAAGTACTTGATAAATTGTATGTTCATATTGGTGCTTTCGAATCTGTTCAAAGTTTTGATTATTTTACCCTATACACCACTTTTATTTATCTGTTTTAATATGATAACTGCACTGCAAGTTTTACTAGATAACGTTTTTGTTCGCTTAGGAGATTCCGTATATCGCCAAGTTATCGTAATTCCAATGGGGACTTATTGTGCACCACTTATTATGGACCTGTTTCTGTATTGTTACGAATTACAAATTATGACTAAAATCAGCAAAGACTCGTCTAAACAACATCTTATACAAACATTTGATAACATTTTTAGATATTTTGATGATATATTGGCTCCCAATAATGACGATTCAGTATGCACACTTAAAATATATACATGATGTGCGGTACATGCCAAAGAGACAGCAACAAAGCGACATAAACACAAGAAATAGTGAAATAGTCAACATACAATCTTCAACAATAGACACATGTCTATACAGTATGTCAAGATCTAAATCATTGCATCAAATAGTCTGCGTTCACTAAATGGGAAAGTTTCATTCCTGTTCTACTGCAACTGAAAGTGCCACATTTCCTTTTCTACATGTCAGAATGAATCTGACTAAATGTATATTGATTTTTTTTTATTTAAAATGTCCATGTATGTGTGTTTCAAAGTCGGACTTAATTCAAAATTTAAAACGCATCTTTCGAAAATAAAATAAAATAAACGAAACAATAACAGGTAAAACTAAAGAAATATTTGAAAATACACAAGATCACACCAACCACTAAACACCGATTCCGGAAATCGGGGTCAAAATCATATTTTGGTTTATAGTCTAAAAAGTTAACAATATAACTCACAATGACCTAAGTTACAGGTAAAATGGTGGAGGAAGATACCAAAGAGATATTCCAACTGATTAGTCGATGACAACCTGAAAACGCCATAACAAAAAATGTGAAACGACCAAAAGACAAACAATTCTAAACAAAACACAACACAGAAAAACCAAAGACTGAGCAACACGAACCTAAGAAAAAGTCCAATTCGGTATTGTCATATAAAAAGAAGAAAAAAACCGATATTATGGTTACGACAATTGGAACATATTCGTCGTCATCTTTTTAACAGATATTCTCATAACGGTCAACCGACTCGAGATGGCATCCGTAAAATATTTGAAGGAATGATTTATATTTTACCACTTTGAACCTTTGGTTAAATAGCTTCCTTATGAGCAGCAACCTCATTCCATGAAATCATGATAGGAATTGCAAGCTCTGGAATATCATATCACTGGGAGATATATACTCAATAAGCAAGTGGTGCTGGAATATTGCTGCATAACAATGGAAAGTTCACAATTGGAAAGCTGCAACCGTCTAATTTTTGGTAAAGGTTTGTTCTCAACCGACCCTTATTGTCAAATTCGAGTTGTAAGTCAAGATATGAGGCAGACTTAAGAGTATCTGTGTATAATTTATTTCAATTTCGATACGATTGATGCGTCCAACAAAATTTCAGGACAAACTACCCCATCCAAAAATTTTAACTTGATAACGTTACATTTATAACTGTCCGATTTTTATGTTCAGTGAACTCTGAAATTGTGGTATAAACCTTAATATCTACATTTATCATATATTTAGTAGTAAATACAGTAGTTTTGAATATTTAATAAATAGCCTGCTGTTTATTCCGTATCGCTTAACTTTGATGCGGACCCTTTATCACACCCCTTTCTCGCATGCCCACCCTTTATCACCCCCCTACTCGGAATTCTCATTTATGACAATAGTGATTCCGACTCAATTTACATGCAGTCCATGTTTTAATTTATGCAAGCTTCTCATCCTTTCTGTATCTCTTTCAAAAAAAATCCCGAAGATTAAAAAGTGAAATATTTTTCTTCAAAGGGTCCCAAATGAAACGGTCATAAGGGCGTGACGTCATTTATCAAATGACGCCATTGTTTGGCATGTGACGTCACAGACGTCGATCTTTCTTATTTTCTGGCACACGAAATGCAACCATAAAAAACTACCGGCAGCAAGAGGGTGAAACTTAAAATTTTGATATTTCAAAAGTGCACATTTTACTCACCAGTCTCAAAGAAGTCTCTTGTTTATTACAGTATACCTGTTATTAAATTGTTGGTTTATTGTTACCTTTTTTTTTATTAACAGGTTTTATTCAGAATGCATTTGATATAGTACAACATAACTAAATGAGGATGAAAAGAACTCAATGAAATACCACACAAAACACAAATAAACAACAACAAAAAATACAATAAACAAAATATTTCTATGGACATCAGGACGCAAATTGTAAAGTAACCAGGTGCTTCACATGATTAGTTAAGCAGTTTCTATATTATCATGATTATGATAAAGCTTTTAAAACATGGCAAAAATAAATCTGAAGGTAACCAGGGTGCTTTGGATCAGTAAGCAGTTCCTATATACTCTCCTGTTTAAGTATATGATAAAGCGTATAAAACATGGCAAAATCCGTATCACATGCCGTATCACCCTCGAAATCCAATGGCATTAAATTGCTTTACTTCATGTCTTTTTATTAATTAACATGGAAGAAAATAATTCAAAGGAATGGTACCCAGCTCGTAAATGTATAATAAAGTTAAAGAAAAAAGTGTGTAGGTTTATAAGTTCGTAGGGAAAACGAATTGAAGATTTTACGAACAAGAGAGTCTGCAGTTGTCTCCGATAGCGAAAGTTTCCATCCGAACGGAAAGAAACGAGCAATTTCATAAAAAGAACTTCCATACATAATGCCTGTCAGAATTTGGTTTATTTGGCCTTGCAGTTTTATAGTAATGATACTTATTATTTCGGGAAGTAAAAAAGCAACAAAAATATGCACAGTTCATTTATATATGATGTTGTTGTATGTCGGATTGTTTTCCATAATTGTTTTAAATGACTCATTATTATCTGTTAACAGACAATTTAGTCAATTATATATAAACATTTGATACTTATACAAACTAGATGTTTCAGTTTTATCTACCAATAGTAGATATTATCCAAAACCAATCTAAAAGATCACAAGAATAAAATGGGATATAATAAAGTACTGAAAACGTTTTGATACATTATGATCATTGTATACATATGATAGGATCAATCTCTGTTTATTGCCAATATACTAAGAAAGCATTAATGAAGAAGTTAAAGCATTTTATCTTTATTTTGTCCAATAAATATTGTGATTATTGTGTTATGTATACTTCATCGAAACAAAATACAAGAAGAATAGTTATAAAGGGTGACAGGAACTAACAAAAGTTACAGCAATGGCACGGCAAGACATATTAAGTGTAAAAATAAATTGTCAGCTATTACCTAACAACTCTTAATTGTTGTTAGGTAACAGCTGAGGTTGAAAGAATACTTACTATCCAGGGGTCAGTTATTTTGCACGTGAAGATTTGAAAATTGTGTAATTTAAAAAAACATCATAAAATATATATTTAATGAAACGGCTTACAAACCAATCTGATTGAAATACATATCATATGTCAACGGATCTGACAACAACCTGCTTTTTTGTTTTCTTAAAGACTCAAATAAAACAGAAATATTATTTTCCGAGAATAAAAGATCATCCAGTACATTTCCAACGGAATTCATGTAAAGACGAAATATTTAATCTGAGAAACATGAACTCTTGTTCAATACCAAAATATCAAATAATGACAGGATGAAGGACCATAAGTGTTAATAACATTATTGCAATGCATATTTAGTCATGTTTGATTTATTTAAAATAAATTTACTATAAGTACCGATAAATACAATATTCCAAGATCTTTAATATGTCGTATCTAAATTGGCGGGCTCTAAAGATAACATGACAGTACAAATTAGGATATTTATATCCTGTTTATTTCAAGATTTTACAGGCACTTTCTTTCTGTGCATAGTTTTATAATGAACGATTGGTTACAAAATGTAGCTATGATACAAATAATTCGCTACATTCGTCTAACACTTCTAATCGTTAAGCAAGAGAAATGACAGGAAATATTTCATTAAGACTTAATTAATTAAACGGGTTTGCAAAGTATATCTCAACAAATAAGTTAACATATAATACCCACTTGACGTTTAAGCAACTTTAAGATAATTCATATATATATATCTACTTGACCATGGCACTAACAAATTCGATCAACACATGCATTTAATAAATAATCATTTACGTATTTTCGTCTGATGTCAAAGTGTTTCCTTATTTAAAAAAAAATACTAGATGAACACCGACAATAAGTAGTGCACGAGCAGGACGTCTTTCTTACATACATGTTGAAAGGTAATATACCAAAGCGAGGGGAGGGGGCGATCAAACAGCTTTAAACTACAGATTGAGCAAACTAACCTCGTTAAAATAAGATACTGAACTCTGGTGCTCTGGATTCGTAAACAGTTACTATAATCTGGTAAACTGATGGAATTGCCTGAACTACAAAAGAGGAGATACTGGGTGTGTTGACAGAGTAAGAGCCTCTTGCTTTGTATGCATCAACCGCCATACGAATTCACGCTCAGCCAAAATGTCCCAAACGGGAATAAGAAACCTTTGGTAAATTTACCGATCATACGACTATTCCGAAACTATTTTTACCAAAAAAAACATACGATTAAAATTGATCGCAAGTTGTAATTGCAATGTTCATGACTTTAGAGTATTTTTACTTGTAAGATTTTTTGTTAAAGGTGTTGCAGGTATCTAAAGGGTTCTACATCCTTCAGTGGTATCCATCATGTTGCTCGTCGCACGTAAAGTTAAGTAACATTCAGTGATGTTCCATCGACATAAGGCTGTTTGATTAGTGCATTTATGTACTAAAAATTATTAATCTTCTTGACTATCCGAGATTTTCGTTCTCTCTCTTTATTGTGATGGTTAATGTAATGACTCTTTCAAATGTTTCATTTTACTGCTATGTAAACACATGTCAGATTTTGGCCTTTGTTAAACATCATTCTAACATAATAATTTATCACCTTCCCTTCGAAGCGCATCTGTACAATTCAGATTCAACATGTTATTTTTGTCTTAAACAGAGAGGGACGAGTTTCACGAGTTTTTATTTCAGCAGGACTAAGCCATTTTGCATTTTTTTAAATCGATATTAAAATCCACGGTTCACTGTTAAATACGTATACAAAAGTTTATGAACATTATTCAATATTTTTTTTTTAATTTTGTATTGTCATCTACAAGTTTCATACATTTGGACACACTTTAAGAATTCATTAAAAAAAGGAACAAAAGACATTTTCAAAACAAAATGCAGACTTTCGAAAGTTTTGTTTAATAAGTAACGTCTTTCAGATACTACTACTTATACATTTACGTTCATTGCTTTCAATGCTGAACACAATTTAACCTGTATAAAAAATAGTCATCGATATTTTCTTCATCAGCTACATGTATCTATGTTTAATCACAATACCATGTTCATCTTTTCTTACACTTGTACAAAAAAATGCATAATGTCATACTTAAACAAGGATATTATCTAGTTCGAATTAAGAGAGACTTAAAAAAGATATATCATAGAGTATCCAAATTCGTACGATTCCCTTAGTTCTTGTTTTTTACTTTGATTTGTCATCTTCATCAATTTACGAGATTTGATCATCGGTAAACTACTGTTGCCTTTATTTTCCTTAACCTATGAAATTAAAAAAAAATATATCCCACGAATATAAATGATTCCGTAGTTTACATCTCAAACGATCTTTTTAAAGTTGCTAGATACAGAACAATGATGTGTAAGTTGTAAGTGAACAGGTAACAAATATATACAATGGTACATGTGTAAAACGTCATCAATCATCAATGAATAAGTACTATAACTTTAGATATTCCACTGGGACCTTGTCTTTTGAACAGAACTTCCTGGTCTAAATATTTCTTCGGTGTATTATTGTTAAGCTTTCCAGCAAGATGCAAAACAACGCTAGGAATTTAGAGCAGTAATTGTTTCATCAAAAAAATACCGCACAGAAGAAGTATGTTGGTAATTGTGGACGTCGCCGTGCAGGTCATACTGTATTTCTCATTTTGTGTGGTTTTGAAGAAATCTACAGCTTCACCTGTACAATGTCCTTGCATAGAGTTTGTCATGCAGGTAAATAATTCGGATTGGATTCTGGAACAAAATAATGAAAATGTTTTTCTTTAATGTATACTTATAGAAATATTAATAGCATCGAATGTTAATTATCAGTATATAACATGTATATATTCCCTGCTTGCATAAGACTGAAATAATTTTGAGAATTTTGACAACAACAGGATGTCGGTGATTATGTAATTAATGGTAATACAAAGGATGTCGGTGATTATGTAATTAATGGTAATACAAGAAGTATAGTCTACTACTACGGGGGTGTTTAACGACCTTTTCTACCCCCGAGCGGTCTGTATATCCCTTTATGATTTATATATCTTCATTCGCATTATAACATGAAATTGTCAGATACTGTAGTTTCGAAATTCTTTATAACACAGTTTCATCCTTGTCATTTTTTGTTTGGTAGATAGTTGTCTGATTTACAAACACACAGCGTCTCCTTCTTTTTAATTAAAATGTGATATATAGTCATTTATAGTACATTCCATCCCGTTAAAATGTGAGGGTTGAGACTTTTTTCTCAATTGCGATGCATCAATTGTGTGATTGCGAATAACGTTTTTATCCTAATCAATTTTTCAAAGTATATGATCTAATCTGAAGATCACCTATACTATATCATATATATTTTCATTATGTTTTACTTTGAAGTCATAAAACATGTTTCCGATTCACTAAATCAGTATACAAAGATTCAGTGATTATATTAAATGTACAATGTTTATGTATACGATTCTAGCTGATATTGTATAACTACAGCTGCTCTAGATGAAATATAGATTGGTTATGTAAAAGATTCTAGCTAACATTGTATAACTACAGCTCTAGATATAATATAAATTCAGTGATTATAATATATGTATATATATATACGATTCTAACATTGTCTATCGACAGCTCTAGATGTAATATAGATAAGGACATTCTACAAACTTCATTAACATGTACATTCTAGGGATGATAGGGAGATTAACTATGATCTGTTCTAATTATGAAGACGGTAGTATGCAAATATAGTTTGTACTATAGAGTATATCGTGTAAACATCTTTTTCAGGTTTTGTTTACTTCAATGAGACAGAATAACACAAAAGACTTAGTATTGTCAACATTCGGTACTTAACGATAGACGGGAGTCTATACAATATGTCAACATTCGGTACTTAACGATAGACGGGAGTCTATACAATAGGTCAAGCTCTAAATCATCCCAGTTCTTAAAACCTTTTGATTAAATAGCAAACATGCAGAGGTCATTTGTATTACAGCTCTTCTAAAAAAGCATGCAAAGTTAACCTTTGATCAACTTGCTTGCTATGTTTGCTTGGATGTTTGCAAACAATAGGTAGGCGGAGTTTCAGTCTGTTTTGTATATACTGGAATTTGATTAGACAATAAAAATTGACATGCAATGAAGTTAATGTTTATTGTCCAATCAAATTCCAGTATATAGTAAACAGACTGAAACAGACTACCTACCTTTTGTTTACAAACATCCAAACAAACATAGCAAGCAAGTTGATCAAAGGTTTGCTTTGCATGCTATTATAGAAGAGCTGTAAGAAGAATTGTTCCTTGATTTAGATAGAATAATGAATGCAAATAATGTTAAATGACAATAAGTTAAACTACTTACGAGCATTCTGATGAATCTTTGTTTTCAGACTGGGAGTTCTGCATCATTTTCTTAGCACATTCTGACATTCCTTTTGCAACTTGTAGCTTTGAGATACACTTCATAAATGATAACAGATCTGCAAAAATGACTATTATTAGCTAAACTTCAGCAAATAGTCGATGAAAATATATTGTACTGCTTTATCATCTTGTAAGATTGTTGCTTAATTGGCTTTTAAGATTTTCTATTTTCCAAATAGTCTGTATATACTCCGCTTCTAAATTTCCAAGTGTTGCGTTTAGTTGAGGACACTAAATGCCAAATAAAATTGAGAATGGAAATGGGGAATATGTCAAAGAGACAACAACCCGACCAAAGAGCAGACAACAGCCGAAACATATTTAAAAGTGCACACCATAATTTATCCCCAAAGAGGATTCTGGTCAAGTGTCAATTGGCCCTATATTTTCATTTGATAAGACCTCTTTAAAATTTAACAAACGACGACAGACCCCAATTTATGGTAATAGCTCAAAATTTTTAGCTTAAATTTGGACTTAAGTGAACCTTGGGGGAACGTTTACGCTTATGTTAGAAAAAATAACCTGACGTGATTTGTGCACTTATTTTTACTTATAAATGCAAATTCAACAAGATATCCAGGCATTGAACCGTTTAGATTGTCATGTGATTTCTATGACATGTCGTATCATTATGTTGTCCTGTGGTTGGCACATTTCCAATTATACAATCCTATAACGGCTGGCATTATACACAAAACACATAGGTCAAATTTAAATGCTGTGATTGTATGTTGATTTGTCTCGATCAGATAATACGGAGAAAGAGATACTTTTGATTGATCATGTTTCCATCATCTGACACACTAAGCGTCTTTAACAATTAAATTTCAATTCCATTTCAAAAATTGTGTTATCTTTTCGTTTGTTTGTAAAGCATTTTTCCAGAATAGTCTTTGTAAGAAACGTTCACAGGTCAATGTTTTGAAACAAAAAGTAGAAATATATGCATGTTGACTACATAAACCAACAAAACTTTTAACAACATCAGTTTAAGCAGGGTGGTATAATAAGCTTCGGTGCCTTGTATCTATAGTTTTAATGTTAGTTGTTTTTGTGCCTCGTTCCGATCTTTTTGCTACAGACTTTTACAGTTTCTTCTCATGTTGTGCTGTTACATCACTGTCCCAGTTTAAAAAAGAGATGAGCGCTCCCAAACGTGTTCAACACCGCCATATTCTTGATGTGTCTGTCCCAAGTCATTACCCTATAGTTCAGTGGTTGGCGTTGGTTCATGTCTGTCAAATTAAATTTTTTCGTAAATGTTTTTTCTTTTATAAATTAAGCCGTTAGTTTTCCGTTTGAATTGTGTCACTTTTTTGATGTCGGTGCCTTTTAAAGGTTTGTTGAAGGCCGTACGGTTGCCTATAATTGCTTATTTCCACTTCATATGAACTCTGGTGGACAGTTGTCTTATTGGCAATCATATCACATCTGCTTTTTTTGTATTATATATGGCTACAGATAGGCAAAGTATCACTCTATTTTGGTAGACGTTTCTGAACATGTTTGGCTTTCGAATGCTTGGATGTAAGTGTTCCTGATGAAAGAAAATCCAGAAAAACGCTTTGTACTTTTTTTTATAGTGTTACTTTTAATTTTTACGTTTTTCATTCAACAACTTTTTATTTGGCCAGTACATTCTACTTATTACAAGTATTTTTGTACTGCCAAAATATTCCAACACTGATTTTAAATACCTTGCTTTTTGGAACAAACTTTGTTAAACTCATCTTTCATTTTTTCCTCTGATGGATTATACGACACAATCTGTGAGAGCGAAGAACATCCACCTATATTCTGTGGGTTGTAACATTTAGCCAAGGCATCAGAATTCCTATTATAAATTGAAGACTAGATTACAAAATCCCATTATAAAGACAAGTTTTGTACATTAAAATTAATGATTAAGATTAAATAAATGTGCCTAAAATCCAAGGCAGGATTAATTTTATCTCCCAGTGAAATACGTAGAAACAATTAAGATGTCCGCACACGGAAATAGGAAAGAAGAGAAAGAAAATTACGGTTTAATGTACAACTACTTGGTATGGACAGGGTTCATAGGTCCATGACACAACGCCTGTTTCTAGTCTTACTTATGTTAACATTCTATCCAAGAAAAACATAATAAGTTTGTGGTCTTTAAAGCATCACTCACACCAGAAATCTTAGCGAAATCTGAATTGTTTTATTATTTCTAAAGGTCATTCGTATACTGTGGATTCATTATAATTCATGGTATACCAATTTTCGTGGATTTTGTTGATATATTTAACCTAAGATTCTAAATGTTCAACGAAGTACACATTTTCTATAGGCTCGTATGGAGTGTTTGGCAAAACGACGAACTCAAATATCCACGAAATACATTTTTTTTTATAATTCACGAAAATGGTATCCACGAAAATAAATGTATCCACAGTATTAAATAAAACATTTGGCATTCAGTTTTTATGTTGTTAGGTTACCAATATCATGTTATTGTATACTCATATAATCTTTTTTTCGAAATGAAAGCACTGCGTCGTGTTTTAAACTTAAGGTATACTTACTTGCATATGGCATCAAGAAAGTGGACAATACTTTGTTCGTTTGTTAAAGTGAAGTTTATATTGTGTATCTTGCTTGAAAACTTGTCCATACACTGTGTCATACCCTCACAATCAGCCCATGCAACATCAACTGATACCGTTAGAATTAGCAGAGCTGGAATAAAAATATAAAAAAAAATAAGTAGGACTGAAACCGATTTTTAAAAAAATTGTTAAAAAAGAGAAATATGGTATACGTTCATGTGACAGCAACCGAACAACACAAAAGACACATAGAGATCAGCATAATTATGCTATTGGACAATAGACACATGTCTATATAATATGTCAAGATCTGTATCGCCCCCTTACTTGAAAGGCATTATTCAAGTCATAGTACCATTGGTTCAAATCCTGCTGTGACAAGAAAAAAATTTGGCTTCCATAAATCTACAGATCTAGCATAGTAGGGTTGATTTTAAACGGTTGTAAAGTGATCAAAAGCAGGTAAAATTTTTCAATCCTATTAAAAGGATTACTTTATGTCTTAAAATAACTGGTAAAAATACAACGAATCATTGGTTACAAAATGTATACTTTGTACATCTCATTATTCACGAAACGCCCCTGTTGTTTCAAATATATGAATATATCTTTCATAAACACTTAAAGAGAAAAAACTTGATAGATACAATGACAGAAAATGTAAAATACCTCGTCATTTTTTCATTAAATATATATAAATTTATCGAAACGAGGTTTTTAGATAAATATTATTTGAGTTTTTGTCACCACCAGTATGTTTTTAAACGACTAAGATATTACTCAGAATTTTGATACATATAAATAGCTGGCTTCAAATCTGTTTCTTAAATGTAATTCACAGTTTGGTATTTAGTAACTAGATAATAATAGGATATTTATTAAATAGTCGTTTTTTTTGTCCCCAACCAGCATTGCCGACATGACTATGATTACAAGATGTAAAACAATGCATTAATGACTGAAACCGTCAAATGCCCTTATTTACATGACAATTTTTGACACATTACATAGAAAATTTAATACTTTTTTATTGAAATTTTGTCATTGTCAAATCATAAATTACGTATACCAACCATTCTTATAAAAAGATCATGAACGGCAAAACAAAATATTATATTTTACATAATTTGGTTCAATTATTATGAAGTTTAAATTTTGATTTCATTTATAACATTTTTCTTTTTGTATACTTTATTTATATTCTGATTAATTATTTAATTATTCAAAAAAGGGTTATCGAAGTTGAATTATGAATTGCCAATGACTTAAGTTTAGCAGCCATTGTTTTCGACCAGCTGTCATAGAGTCAATTTGGACCATAATTCACATTTTTTTTCAGCAAAAATAACAAGATATACATAAAATCTGCTTTTATATTTAAATTGTGTTTTCGCATAATAGAATTTTGTTTTACGCTCACATGTTGGAAAACTGTTGGAAATGATAATTTTACTTATCGCTGGTTCATACTTCATAAGAATTAAGATCATGTTCGCAAGGATAAGGTTTGATTATTTAAGATGTCTTTCATGCATAATGTCTACATGTGTAGGTTATAATAATAAGTTAATTATGTAATATATTGATAAGAATTCTACTTTACAAAGAGAAAATATGAAGTGACAAATTCCTAAATAAATAACTGCTAAAAATCCTTTTTCTCAAGTAAATTATATGAGAGTAATTTATAATTAACTTTAAGAATTTTAACTAAATAAAAATCAGATATAATTTAGAAAACACAATTTAAATATAAAAGCAGATTTTATGTATATCTTGTTATTTTTGCTGAAAACTAAATTTTCACAAAAATGTGTATTAAGGTCCAAATTGACTCTATGACACAGCACTCATCAAATGAACAATTTTTTTTCTTTCGATATTCATCATAATACCATTGATTGTTTGCCTAACGTCTAGTGGCAAATATTTCATGGAAATTCAGGATGGTGGTGATTGGGTGATAGGGTAATTGGGGGGTTTGTATTTCTTTATTGAAAAAATATCCTGATTCCCAATGCAACTTTTAAAGAAAAATACATTTTGATCAGGAAACATTGTGATCAGTGAGACGTTGCGTTGCGCCGTCTTTATCATGTTAAAAAAAACAACAAAAAAAACCACCGAGCTCATTTGAAGCAATTTTTGACACAATCCTCCTTGAATGTATAGTTTCAATTTTGTGTCAACTCATCTAAAACATTGAAGAGGTGGAACTTATGTATGGGCTACACATTATCAATCTTAAAATTAAACAAAGAACTGAATATGCATGAAATACTTGCCACTAGACTTTAAAGCACACAACAAAGAATCAATTAATCAGCAAAATAATACGTTGGCATTGTTATTAACTGATCTTTAATATCCATTAAGATATGTATATGTCTATCGATTTTAAGGAATGCTTGTTCTGTAACCACTAATAAATATAAATAACTGCTACTTGACCTAGAAACTACATTAAAGGCGCCTCAAATCTTGAACATGTTTAATGGAAGATTAAAATGCTCTGGAAAATGATAGTTAAAACAGATGCACATAAATGTAATTAAAAAAAGCTTACTTGCAAAAGTTTGAAAATCCATGATCAATAGTACTTCCTGGTAAACTGTATACACAATACACTAAGTCTAAGATCAGTTAATCATAACAATGAATGATGACGGGACTCTGGCTTTGTCACAACGTATTAGATGATTGAATGGAAATATTACGGCCAGCTGTACGCGTCAGCTCTTCAAATGCGTACAAGTCCATATGCTTTATACATGCAATAATTAAACAAAAAAATCACTTAGAGCCTTTCAACATCACGTGATTTTTAAGGAAATAGATAAAAACTAAAGCATTGATTGTTGAATTACTCATATTTATAAATGTGTTAGCGTATTTCTGCAAACATTACGTAATCTTAGAAATAATCCATTTTAACTTGTTGATCTTTCAATTAAACCCATTCTAATGGGTTATCTATTGAACGCTATGTAAAGATCTTTAAGTATAATCTAAATCGGAACTAACATTGATTTTGTTTAAAAAAAAAAACTTCAAACATACTTAATATGTATTGCTATACAGTATAAACACTTTCTATGACAGTAACCTGTTATTTAAATCGTAAAAAGTTCAATGATTTATGATTTAATTTTTATGTATATATATCTTTTCAAGCAGATATGCAAAACATGTGGTTGACGATAAGTTATACTTGTTTAAATACGCTGGAAATTAAATGTCTGTTCAGAATGTAGATTTAAAAATTTATTATAAATGCATTGTAAATAGGTCAAAAAATACCTTCATACAAATCTGATCCTCACGTGCAGAATCCTGCTCATGGCAGTGAGATTTATTAGGTAAATTTCAGGAGATAAATAAAATCCCTTCCGTAAAAATTTCAAGATAATTTTTAGAATATAATACTTATTCAACCCCCCCCCCCACACACACACACACAACTTTAATTATGTGAAATCAAGAGGGGAGAGTCCTATTTTGAAATATGATTGGTCGAATATGTGAAGGAAATCTCCTAACTGTGTCTACAACAACTACCTATTGTAGAACCTCAGTGTACAACAATAACCAAGAATATACACATTTATTGGTGTTTTTTTTTCAGCCGACATGAAGCAATTATATATTTCATTACTTAACTTTTGTGTAAGCAAGACAAATGTGACACATGTGATGATACACCATAACTTGTACCTTAAATTTTATCACTGAAAAAGTCGTGCTTTTCTTGTACTTTTAATTGCATCTTAGCACTAAATCCATTGGGTTTGTACTGATTGATATTTCAGTCTGAGAAAACATGGTTTTTTTAATAGTTGAAATTGGCTTTGAACTTACTTTCAGACACTGTGAGTACTCTTAGATGGGAACTTTGAATTCGGTTCGGCGAATAAGAAAAGTACATTTTCGATCTGGGCTAGCGCTGGTATGTATGTTACTCCAACTTTCACAAAATCGCCTTAAAAAAGAACTCTGTTAAGTCTAGGTATGTTCTCAATAGTATCAATGGTTGAGGAGAAGAAACTCCCAGTTTTTACGACGGGAGACGGATGCTGTGTTTTTTTTCAGCCGACATGAAGCAATTATATATTTCATTACTTCACTTTTGAAATTCGTGTAAGAAAGACAAATGTGACACATGTGATGATACACCATAACTTGTACCTTAAATTTTATCACTGAAAAAGTCATGCTTTTCTCGTACTTTTAATTGCATCTTAGCACTAAATCCATTGGGTTTGTACTGATTGATATTTCATTCTGAGAAAACATGGTTTATTTAATAGTTGAAATTGGCTTTGACCTAACTTTTAGACACTGTGAGTACTCTTAGATAGGAACTTTGAATTCGGTTCGGCGAATAAGAAAAGTACATTTTCGATCTGGGCTGGTATGTATGTTACTCCAACTTTCACAAAATCGCCTTAAGAAAGAACTCTGTTAAGTCTAGGTATGTTCTCAATAGTATCAATGGTTGAGGAGAAGAAAATCCCAGTTTTTATGACGGGAGACGGATGCCAAGTGTCTTAGTGATTGTAATACTGGAAAATATCCTTTGACCAGGTGATATAAAAAAAGACAACAATATATCTTTTATTAGTTAAGCGACCTGTAAATTATGCTCTTTATACACCCTTGAAATATTATTATCATTATTACCATTGTCCTATTTGTTGTCCATATTTAACAATTACAATAAATTGTAGGACATTTAAAATGAAAATATATTTGTATGCAATTCAAGTTCTGTTCAAAAAGCGTTGAAACGGTTTAAGGTTCAGAGACTGACATCACAACTAAATACACGACCGTATATACTGGTACAAGTGTAAATTCATCATGTTCTTAAGGAGGATAATTCATTAATTCTACATTCATTTGATTAATGACAAGTACATATTATGTCATGATTTGATGTTTACGATGCATTCATAATACTTATTCATGTTAAATTTATGTTTTACTTTTTGTGTGTAGCTGTTTCACCTAAGAGTCGTTACCATATCATGAAATGTTATCCTAAATAGCTTCAGTAATTATTCATATTGTTTCTATGTGAATGATTTAAGGTGAATCAAAGTGTAAAGCTTTATGGAGGTATGATGTATTTAACGGGACGTTTTTGATTTTCGGGGGAAGGGTATTTGAAAATGATTTGCGTCCTGGTAAGAATTAAAAATAAAAACTTTGCACAAGACAGGATGGAAATTAATATGCTGCAACACAAATTGCAGGAATCAAATATGTACAATAGTCAAATACATTTTTCGTGGAAAAAATAAGCGTGCATAGCAACAAATAAAAATAAATTTTTAATCCGACCCCCCTCCCCCTACCCTAAAAAATCAAATGGTTATAAAATATGGACATGGTGAATGTAATAAAATGAATCAAAGCATTGGAAACAGTCTACAAATTAACCCGTTAACTGATAATCATATAATTATAAAAAGAGAGAAAAAAGTTTTTGGAAAAACCTAAATAAATGTAATACAAATGTTCACGTAGCAGTAAAAAGTTATATTGATTTCTGTGGTAATATTAAAACTGCACTGTATCCAATTCAGTGCAATATTATAGTGTTATTAACTGGCTGTTTCTGTATTGGCCCTGTTATAGATTCGAGGTTAGCTGTATTGGACCCGAGACTCGAAGAGTCGAGGGCCAATACAGCTGATCGAGAATCTATAACAGGGCGAATACAGAAACAGCCAGTTCATAACACTTTTATTAAATGATTTTAATTCTTTTAATTAGAATAAACTAAGAAACTTACCGCGAAGAAGAGACAGAATTTCATATCTGAACTTGTCTTTTCGCATTCACGAATCACGTCCATGGATTTTTTGTCAGCATTGTCAGATGTAATTTCTGATTTCTCGTCCAAGTACTTAATATTATGCTATTACAATTCATTTTATCTAGCAAATATAAAGTAGCCGGGAAGAATAAATCAGACAGTTACTATTTTTACTCTTGGATCGTCTGCGTTCTGATGATTGATCAACGGAAATGAAACAGTGTCAATAATCGAAAGCCGTACTCGAAAAGGCTGTGAAATATTTCCGTTTCAAGACTTCAAGACGTTACAAATTTAAAACACTGAACACCATTTAAATTTTTTATTTATGATTTTTAAGTTAAAAAAATATAATACAAATGTTTTTTATGCATAACGATACGTCCAAAGTTAAGTAAGGCGTAAGAAAATTGAAACCGGAAGTGAACGTCCCGTATTAGCCCGCACGAGGATAAAAGCTTATGTGAACGGTTACTGCCAGTCACCACTTATGAAAAAGTAGTGCTGCATATATCTACGCGTATGATCATATACAATTTTATAGGTGCCTGCAGGTCACACCATATTTTATCTGTATCAAATGTGCCTGCAGGTCTCACCAAAAATGTATCTGGACAATAGGTGCCTGCTGATCACATCACTTAAGATCTGTAACATAGCTTATCATTTGAGTCTGCAGGTCAGACTGCTTATTATCTGTACCATAGCCTATTATATATGCCTGCATGTCACACTTTGATTTATATATCTGTATGGTAGGTGCCTGCAGGGCACATCACCTTAGATTTGCACCATATATATAAAAGGAAGATGTGGTATAATTGCCAATGAGACAACTCTCCACAATAGACGGCCTAATTTAAGTACAAAATAATAAACGAAAAACAAATATGAAACACAGCAACAAAAAGTAAAATCACAAAAATACTGAACTCCGAGGAAAATTCCAAAAACGGAAAGTCCCTAGTCAAATTGCAAAATCAAATGCTCAAACATATCAAACGAATGGATAACAACTGTCATATTCCTGACTTGGTACAGACATTTTCTTACGTAGAAAATGGTGGATTGAACCTGGTTTTATAGCTAGCTAAACCTCTCACTTGTATGACAGTCGCATATAATTCCATTATGTTGCCAACGATGAGTAAACAAAACAAACAGACATAATAGGTAAAATTATCAAAAATACAGCAGTCAACATTGTGTTAAAATCTTAATCACTAAAAAAAACAAACAAATATGTAACAAAGAAGCACAAAATGGCATATAGACCGATCACATTAGCATAAATTAAAGACAAGAATACACAAATTTACCATAGTACAATAACACGATGACGGGATGTATAAGTACAAAGCTACGTCATATATGTAACAAAGAAACATAAAAAGGCATATATGGACAAAGCACATTAGCAAAAATGAAAGACAATAATACGAGAATAATTGTATCATAAACAATAATGACAGAATGTACAAGTACCACAAGTATCTTAATCACAATAAAAACAAACAAACACTTAACAAAGAAGCACAAAAAGGCACACATCAAATTTAACAACCTCATTCATTGCTCCCTTAATTTGAATTTTATTTAAGTATGTCAAATCCACCAATTAACGATTGAAAGATCTTAAGTACTAGGAGCGAATGGCCAGATTAACACTGACTCTAACGTAGAATCGCGCGTTTGACGTCTGAATGTAAACGTCACACAGGTAGAGATATAAAATAATATTGTCGTTCAAAGTATGAAAATAATATAGTCTATACTTCTTTAGGCATATCCTCTGCAGAATGTAAATTAGAAGTTACCTTTCCTTCTTGCAACTGACAAATGACAACCACTGAATTACCGGTTCCTGAATTGGGACAGGCACTTACAGAATGTGGCGGGGTTAAACTACGTGAAGGCGCCAACCCTCTCATAACATGGTATCGTGGTGAAACAGTAGAACATAATAACAAACTATAAAAACAGTTGAAAAAGGCAGGTCACATCAAATAAATAGAAATAGAAAAACATCTTACAAAACACAAAGTGGACGTTGATGGTTACTTGTTCATGCGAATAAAAAAAATACACTAAGTACAGATCTGAGAGTACTCGGATATCACAGGAGCCTGAGGGTCAAACTACTATGCATTAGTACCATAAATGCA